TCCTAATAATGTTTTCTCTGTTTATATGTAACCAAAGGTTTTCCCTGGACGTGTCAGAGGTATTTTCTTGGACATATCTCAAGTAGAAGAGAAGAGACCTTTACGGAAAGAAGCGTTTGTCGGTATGAACAAACTACGATACCTGAAAATCTATAATTCTTGTACCTGTTTCCTTGAATCGGACAGCAAATTAACCATCCGAAACGGACTTGAGTTTACGTTAGAAGAGGTTCGATATCTTCATTGGCTAAAATTCCCTTTGGAAGAACTTCCAAAAGACTTCAACCCAAACAATCTTATTGACCTAAAGCTCCCTTACAGCCATATTAAACGGCTTTGGAACCGCGATAAGGTACGTCTCATTTGATGGAATATGAGCCGAGTTTTCTTTTTATTTTTCTTCTTTCTCATCTTTGGTTATTATTGTTACAGGATGTTACTCGTTTAAAGTGGGTTGATCTCAATAACTCAATCAATCTTGAAGACTTGTCCGGTTTATTAGGAGCTGGAAATCTTCAAAGACTGAACCTTGAAGGCTGCACACAGTTGACCATATTACTAAAGGAGATTATGCAAACTATGACAAGCCTTGTTTTCTTGAACCTAAGAAGCTGCAAGAGTCTAGTATCTCTCCCAAAGATCAATATCAAGTCTCTCAAAACACTTATCCTCAGCTACTGCTCCAATCTTGAGGAGTTTCAGATGATTTCAGAAAATCTAGAAGCTTTATATCTTGATGGTACGGCGATAAAGGGGCTCCCTGAAACAACCATAAGGCTCCAGAAACTAGTTATATTGAGCTTGAAGGACTGTGGAAAGCTAGGAAGTGTTCCTGATTCTCTAGGAAAGCTAAAAGCTCTTCAAGAAGTAATACTCTCTGGTTGTTCAAGGCTCCAGAGTTTTCCGGATTTCACGAAAAGGTTACGGATTCTGTTGCTTGATGGGACTGCTATAAAACATGTTCCTAAAGTACTATTCCCTTCTGGTATGAATGGCTTGTCCTTATTAAGACACCTCTGCTTAAGTGGAAATGGTGTGATCCAAACCATGCAAGCTCACATTGGTCAACTTTATCATCTGAAATTTCTTGACTTGAAGTATTGCAAGAAACTCACATCTATTCCGACACTTCCACCAAACCTTCAATGCTTAGATGCACATGGCTATATCTCGCTGACGACAGTCGCTAACCCACTGGCCTTTCTTAATCTGACCGATCAGATCCATTCAACATTCATTTTGTCTCACTGCAATAATCTATATGAAGCTGCAAAGAGTTGTATCATATCCTACATTCAGAAAAAGAGCCAGTTGATGTCTTGTGCACTTAACCGCTATAGTTTGGTCTCTCCTCTCCTCTGAAACTTCCTTAATCTACAGCTTTATGATTTTCTTCAGAAGATTTTTTTTCTTTTTGTAGGGTTCGGTTATGGAATATTGTACTGGAGCTTGCTTTCCTGGATGTGAAGTTCCTGAATGGTTCAGTTACCAAGAACATGGACCAAAGATAGAGACAGAGTTAGCCAGACATCGAAGTGAAACCAACATTATTGGAGTAGCTCTGTGTGCAGCTGTCTCCTTTCAAGACTACCGAGATCAAAAGAGCGGTTTCTTAGTGAAATGCACCTGTGAATTCAAGAATGCGGATGGTTATTTTAGGCGTTTTAGTTGCGTGGTAGGAAGTACTGGAGGACCAGGGATTGAGCCGCGGAAGATTGAATCAGATCATGTCTTTGTTTCCTACACAAGCTTGTTGCAGATCAAGAAACAGAGCGAAGCAGAGGATAAGGTGTGTAGTTATACTACGGCTTCTTTTGCATTTGAGGTGATTGATGGTGCAGGGGAGTTGGTGAAATACGATGTGCTCAAGTGCGGTTTCAGTATGGTGTATGAACCGGAGGGAAATGATCATGATCATGTTTCTTGGGAAGTAGACTCTGATGGATCTTCAATGGTAGATGACAGTATCCATGATGATGAATCCGTGTCATCCGAAGCTCTAGAAGCGGACGAAATTTCGATAGATGGACAATGTTCCGATGTTGATGATGATGAGGGTCAACAAGAAGAAGAAAACTCTGATATACCTTTTGAAGACAATGACAATGCCAATCTTGAAACAGATTCAGATCAAAATATGAATAATGAAGGAACTCCAAGCATCTCTTTCGTAGAAGATTCGATAGAGATTCAGCCTGAATGTTGCTTAGGTATGATTGAAAATGTCGATGGTGAGGGTGCGTGCGCTTGAAGAAACTCCAAGCATGTCTCTCGTAGCGGATTCAACAGAGATTCAGCAAGAATGTAAGTCTGGTGCAACTGAAAATAACAATGATGATGAGGCTAAGCTTGACGCAACTACAAGTATGCAAAAACATCAAGTGATTCCTATAAGAGCTGGGAAAAATCAAGTCATCAATGGTGAAGGAGACACAACTTGCTTTTCATTTATTAGGTGTTTCATTCCTTGTCTTTGAAGAATAGAAGTACTATTCAAACCACAAGGATTAGGACAAGTTCAAGAAACATAGGGTCCTTTGCAATATTCATGGACCATGGTTTCAAAATAGTTGACCAAAAATTTTAAAAAACCATATTCATCAGATTAATTTTGATCAATAACATTTGTTTAGATCTATCTTTTTCGGTTGTACTCAAGTTTTATTTTTTTTGCAAATCTAGAAAAAATGTTTTTTTCTGCAAAACGAAGATTTTTTTAATATTAATTTGTCTTGAAATAAATTTGAAAGTTTCTTCCCTTGTTTCCAAATTTACTGAAGACTCTTGCGTACTTTAATTATGAAGCTAAATATAGATAATGCAAGAATAAGGATGTAGTAGCAAAGGAGCGAGTCTTTAGCATGTCCTAGGAGTACGGACTTGACCATAATAACCACAAATCTCTTCTACAAATTCCAAATTTTCAACAACACAAAAGTAGTATACAAAACAATTAACAGAAGATAAGTTACTTATATATATAAACATATATTGAGAGAGAGAGAAAAAAGGGAAATGGCGGGACCAGAACAAGCGGCGAGGCAGTCGAGTGAAGTGCTAGGACAGAGGAAATCGTTAGGGATATGTCCGTTGAGAGCAGCAGCGGTCGGAGTGGTGATAATCGGTGGACTTGGCTACATGGTTTTGTACAGCAAGAAGAAGCCTGAAGCTTCTGCTGGTGACGTTGCTAAAGTTATGTCAGGTGTCTCTGGTACTACTGAGAACACTCGTCCTCGTAATTGAGCCCTTTTT